TCGCTGGCCCAATAGACAGCAGCATCAGCTGAGCTACGAGAGAAAGCTGGGTCCCTGGGGGCCTAAGCTGAGCCTTGGGGCTTCCCAATAATGTGACCTTAGTCAAGTCTCTCAGGAAAGGAAAAAAGAAAACCGGCTTCTGTGGAGTAAGTACGATCGATCTCTTTGCCCAGATGAGGTAAGTCCTCACAACAGGTTAGGAGAGCAAGGTCCTGACATTGCATGGCGAGTCCTGATGACCGATGTGGACTTCAAGGCTGTATAACCAGGGAGTGGGAACGTTGAATTAGGACCTGAATGTCTCAGTTCAAGTCCTGGGGTCTTTCCTTGAGCTTTAGCTGCCTCCTCCTCCAGGTGGTGATGATAATATGCATATCTTGGGGTCGAGGTTCCACCCACAGCAACAGCAGCTAAGATAACTCACTTCAAACACTAAGTGGTACATTGGAAGTTCTAATCCCTCCATTTCCCTGGAAATGTAGTCATGTTCATGTTACTGCCATATCAGGTTTGTGAGTGAAGGACCCAGAATTTGCCTTGAAGGGAGGTTATTTAGACTTTACTTCCTTCCTACCCTGCTTCCCTGGCCTTCTCCATTTCTTGGTATGGCCAGGCCCCTCTTCTCCCCGAGTTTCCGCAGACGGCCTGACATCAGTGGGTGTTCCCTGGGAAAAGCGGGCGGGCGCAGCTCCTGGCACCGCTTCCCCTAAACCCCCTGCCTCAGATACTAAGCGGCGGGAGGGTTTTGGAGCGACCAGCCGCCTCCCTCTTCCCCAGGTCTGGAACAGCAGCTGGACCCCACCCCTCGGCGTGAGAAGGAGGGGGCGACTTGAATCCCTCAGCTGATGCTGGGAGACCCGAGTTAGTACGGGGCGGGAAGTAGATCTCGGTTCTGGGGTTACAGGGGGAGCTGTCCAGCCCTGCAGATCCAGCTGGAAAGAAGAGTGGGCCAAGGCGCGCCAGGCGGAGCAAGGCGCGGGCGCCAGGCGCGGGTGCGGCAGTGACTCCCCCTTGCAGCCCGCTCCCCACGTGGCCGCCGCCGTCCCAGCCCCTCCGAGGAAGCGGCGCGGCTTCCTGCGGCTCGGGCCGGGGATATAGGCGCCCCCGCCCGGGCCAGCTCAGCTCCGCCGCCCCTCCTCGCCTTCTCGCCCAAGGCGTGATGGCCCGGTTCCTGGTGGAGCGCGCCCCGGGTGGATCGCCGCTCGCTCTGACCCGCGCCGGGCGGCCGGCAGCGCTCCGCCTCCCTCCGCTGCTCCTGCTGCTGCTGCTGCTGCTTCTGGGTGGTGAGCGCAACCCCGGGGGCCCGGGTGGAAGACGAGGGAGGTCCGGGGGAGTGGGGACGAGGCCTGGGCTACCCAGGCCAGCACGGGACCACCATGAGAGTACCAACCGACGTGCGGAGCAGCTCTGACCTGCACATGGGCCCTGAACACATCTCCCGGTTGGCACAGGACCGCACTTCCCGCTTTAGGAAAGCTGGGGCGCCTGCCAGGACCTGGCGGAGAGGTCTTGGAAGGTCCGGGACTGACAAGAAGGGAGGGGGCTTTGGGCCCCGGTGCGAGTTGGGGCGCAGCTGGTACCAGCCGCTCCCTTCCCGCACTAGGACAATACAGTAGGGAGCGGGGAGATTATTTCTCTTTATGTTCCAAAGTAGTGCTGACTTGCCAGGGCCTTAGTCACTACCCCTAAACAGGCACCGCTGTTCAGACCTCCCTCTCCCGCATCATCTGACCCTTCTCACTCATTTCTTTATACAGCTGTCTCAACCTCTCCGGAGTCCCTGAATCAGTCTCTTTCCACTGAGGACAGCTGGCTGTCGAAAGGTGGGTGCCCAAGTCTGTGGGGGGAACGACCTAGCGGAAGGATAAAGCCAGCACAGGGGAGGGGTCCTTTCACAAGACAAGCCTGGGGCCAGGTGATGCCCCACTAACCTCCCGAATCCAGCTTTAAGGCATCTTGCCCCAGCTGGGTAAAAAAGACCCGGACAAGGTGTATGTGGATGTGCTTGTGAGGCTGGGAAGGGAAATACTGTGCACATGGAAGCCATTACAGGATTCCAGAGCCCGGATCTCCCCACAGCCACAAGTGTCCTGCTAGGAATTTTTCAGAGGGATTCCCTTGTCTAAAGGCAAAGGGCTCTACTTTGTAAATCCCTGGGTCGGAAGGCTTGGAGGGAGGGCCAGCTTGGAGGTGTGGTCACTGTGAAGCATCTGTCCCTACAGGGAATATGGAGGACAGCTATGAAGAGAATGTCCAGTATTGCTGGTTTGATTATAAGAGTCTTATGGACTCGGTCAAGGACTGGTGTAACTGGACTTTGATTAGCAGGTAGGGGCAACGTTGAAGGGTGGGTGGCTCAGGCCAGGCGTTGGGCGACTTCCTCGTGGGTGGACCTCGCGTGAATGTGGGACACCCTTCTCCCTGTGCCCAACGCCTCCCTCACTCAAATCCTCTGCTGCCCCCCAGGCATTACAGCGACCTGCAGTATTGCTTGGAGTACCAGGCGGAGAGGTTTGGCCGGGGGTTCCCAAATCCTTTTGCAGAAAGGATCATCTTTAAGACTCACCTGATACACTTTGCCAACTGCTCCCTGGTGCAGCCCACCTTCTCCGATCCCCCAGAGGATGTGCTCTTAGCCATGATCATCGCCCCCATCTGCCTCATCCCGTTCCTGGTCACTCTTGTGGTGTGGAGGAGTAAAGATAGCGATGCCCAGAGCTAAGGGGGCGCGATCCTCAGCGGCCATCTTTCCCCTTACCCCTGCTGGAACTGGGAATCCCTTCTCCCCTTTCTATCTCCTTTTCTCGCTCTCGTCTTCCCCACAGACCTTTGGATTGGTGGAAATGGAAGCCAAGCCGAGTCATGGCACAATTTCTGTAGTCTTTAAAAAAAAGTGTTTTTGTACAATATTCCTTTTTTTTTTGTTTTGTTTTTTTCGAGACAGTGTTTCTTTGCGTAGCTTTGCACCTTTCCTGGAACTCACTCGGTAGCCCAGGCTGGCCTCGAACTCACAATGATCCACCTGGCTCTGCCTCCCGAGTGCTGGGATTAAAGGCGTGCGCCACCACCACCCGGCACAATATTCCCTTCTTAGTGGGGTCTGTGTCGATGATAGTTCTACAGGGCCTCATTCCTGGGAACAGAGCTTGAATCGGGACAGCTCTGCTCCTCGGGTCCTTTCACCTGCCCTCCGCCTCCACAAGAAAGCCATGTTCCTATATTCTTTCCTCCCAGGGAGGGGCCTTTCCTGTCCCTCTCCAAACCCAGCTCCAGGAAGCAAGCAGGAAGAGACTCCCTTCCGGTCGGTCTGGACAGCAGCTGGGGGCCTTTAGTTGGGGAGGTATGGGAGGAGGGGCAAGAAATCTCTACTCCAGCAGGGAAGAAAGACTACCCAGGAGCCCAGCTTTGCCCTTTCGTTGTGCCTCAATATTACTCTAGAGACAGAAAGAAGAAATATGATTACCAGCAGAAGTTATCCTTAAGGACCTCAGGATTGAGGCCCAAGGCAGTGGGAGCTTCGTCTATAAGATTCTAAGGTCCCCTCTAGGTTCCCACATCATCTTAGATCCATCATGGCCACACACTGCCCCCTGGTGTCCACTAAAGGCAACAACCAGACAATGTATGGGATCTAGAGGAAGTTCCAGGTTGCTGCGGAAACTGGACCCTGGGGCTCAGAAACACGTTATCTCCTTAACAACCAAATTCTTAGCTGGGCCCTTCTAGAGCTTCTTGAGAAATATGGTTAAGATACTCCATTGACACACCTACTTCTCTGCAACTCATCATTTCTCTATATGAGCAGTGTTTCCCAGACAGTGAGGACCAGTTCTCACGGGGGGAGGGGGAGGTGGGGGGAGCGGGGGGGGGGGGGGGGGGGGGGGGGACGGGGACGGGGACACGGGACACGACACTCTCATCTCCAATCCTTCCTGAACTACACTTACCAGGTCCCTCCAAACACATGCAAAGCAACTTTACTTTCCATAGAAACATCTGATTATCTTTTGCAGCACTCTTGGGCTCTTTACAGGCTTCCATTTTCCCTGCTAAAATATCTGCTTCCCTAAATAGTGCACACCTATTTCCAGGCACATGCTTATCTGTTTTAGATATAAATGCCTGTGTTTCTTGGAACCTACCTATTTGTTGTCAAAGATATGCTTCTCTCAGGCCACATCTGTTATCTAAGGATTTTTGTTTTGTTTTTATGAGACAAATTTTCTCTGTGTAGCCCTGACTGTCCTGGAACTCATTCTGTAGACCAGGCTGGCCTTGAACTCAGAGATACACCTGAGTCCATCTCTCAAGTGCTGGAATTAAAGGCACGTGCTATCACAGACCACCAACCTAAGGATATTTTTTAGTTTTTAGCTGGAATAAATATTTGCTCTATTCCCATGAATATATATCTGTCTTTGTTCATTTTACTAATATGCACGGGGTGGGGTGGGGTGTTGGGGATTTAGCTCAGTGGTAGAGCACTTGCCTAGCAAGCACAAGGCCCTGGGTTCGGTCCTCAGCTCTTAAAAAAAAAAAAAAAAAAAAAGACTAATATGCACCAGGAGCCTGCTGGTGTAAAACACGGTGTGCAGCGTAGTGTTGGAAAGGCAGGTTAGAGCAATTCTGGTTTCTACTCTCAATGGTTTTCATCCCCTGGGAAACGTGACAAGTACAAATAAATCAAAAACCTAGAACATACAATGGCAGTCACTCAAGGGAAACGGTCATGTATCCAAGTGCAAAGGAAGGGGGAGAGCACATATGGCTGAGACGGTCACAAGAGATGTGGTGTCAGCTTTCCTGTCCATGTGATAAAATCCCAGCCAAGGGGCTGGAGAGATGGCTCAGTGGTTAAGAGCACTGGCTGCCCTTCCAGAGGTCCTGAGTTCAATTCTCCCAGCAACCACATGGTGGCTCACAACCATCTATAATGAGATCTGGTGCCCTCTTCTAGCCTGTAAGGATACATGTAGACAGAACACTGTATACATAATAAATAAATAAAATCCTGGGCTGGAGAGATGGCTCAGTGGTTAAGAGCACTGGCTGCTCTTCCAGAGGTCCTGAGTTCAATTCCCAGCAACCACATAGTGGCTCACAACCATCTATAATGAGATCTGATGCCCTCTTCTGGCCTGCAGTCATACATGCTGTATACATAATAAATAAATAAATAAATAATTCTTTAAATAAATAAAATCCTTTAAAAAAAAATCCTGGGGCTGGAGAGATGGCTCAGTGGTTAAGAGCACTGGCTGCTCTTCCAGAGGACCCTGGTTCAATTCCCAACACCCACATGGCAGCTCACAACTGTCTGTAATTCCAATTCCTGGGACCCATCATCCATGGCTAAAACACCAATGTAATGTGAAATAAAAATAAATAAATAAATTTAAAATATCTTCCCTAACTCAGTATGAGAAAAATGATGTTAAAAAAAAAAAAAAAAAAAAAACAGCCAAAAGAAACTTAAAGGAGCAAAGCTTGATTTTTGCTTAATGTTCCAGAGTATGGCCACTTGGTTTCATTGTTTCTGGGGCCATGGTGAGGCAAGAGTATCATGGCAGGAAGCATGTAGCCGAGCAGAGCCCACACGGCAGCTGGAAAGCACAGAGACTAGGGACGGTATACTTTTCTAGGGCACACCCCCCAGTGACCTACTTCTTCCCACCAGGCCCTACCTTCTTTTTGTTTGTTTGTTTTTTCAAGACAGGGATTCTCCATGTAGCAGCCCTGGCTGTCCTGGAACTTGCATTGCAGACCAGGCCAGCATTGAACTCACAGATTTATTTATTATGTATACAGTATTCTGCCTGCATGTATGCCTGCAGGCCAGAAGAGGGCACCAGATCTCATTATAGATGGCTGTGAGCCACCATGTGGGTGCTGGGAATTGAACTCAGGACCTCTGGAAGAGCAGCCAGTGCTCTTAACCTCTGAATTAGACTTTGACCTTCAGAACTGACCTAAATTAAAGGATGTAGGGGGCTGAAGAGATAGCCCAGAAGAGTGCCCGCTGCTCTTGCAGGGGACCAGAATTTAATTCCCATCATCCATATCAGGCAACTCACAAACACCCGAGACTCCAGCTCCAGGGGACCCTTTTTTTTTTTTGTCTCCATGGGTACCTGCATAAATGTGTATGTACATGTAAATAAAATAATGTGTTCTTAAAAAAAAGAAAAGATGTTGCCAGGTGTGGTCGTGAACATCTCTAATCTCAGCAATCGGGAGGCGGAGTCAGGAGGATCAGAAGTAAAGTATCATCATCTTCGGCTACATAAAGAGTTCCAGACCCCTCCAAAAAAAGGGGAGGGGGCTGGAGAGATGGCTCAGTGGTTAAGAGCACTGGCTACTCTTCCAGAGGTCCTGAGTTCAATTCCCAGCAACCACATGGTGGCTCACAACCATCCGTAATGAGATCTGGCACCTTCTTCTGGCCTGCAGGCATACACGCAGGCAGAATACTGTATACATAATAAATAAATAAATCTTAAAAAAAAAAAAAAAAAGAGTTCCAGACCAGTTTGGGAAGCATGAGACTGTCTCAGATTAGAAAGAAAGAAGCAAAAGAACAGAAAGGAAGGATGGGTAATATGAGGTAACAATGGGACAAGTTTTTATATCCCACAGAGAATCAACAGTGGGGGAGGGGGAGGAGAGAGGAGGTTGGAGGTAGAATTATCATTTGGGGATTATTTCCACCCTCAAGCACAATATGCATCCATAGGAAGTACAAAAGCTTTAAAAGTTTATTGAAAAAAGAAAAAAAATGTTGAAAAGAAGATAGTTGAGGTTTGACTTTAGGGAAATGCCCATCTTTAAAGAATGAAAGAGAGCCAGGTGGTAGTGGCGGCACACCCTTTTAATCCCAGCAGTTGAGAGACAGAGGCAGGTTGTTCCCTGCCAGCCTGGTCGACAGAGTGAGTTCCAGGACAGCCAGACCTACAAAAAGAAACTGTCTTAAAAAAAAAAAAAAAAAAAAAAAAAAAAAAAAAAAACAGAGAGAGAGAAAGCGCCAGGTAAGGTGAAACACACCTGTTGAACCCAGCACTGGGAAAATTGAGGCAGGGGGACAGAGAATGCAAGTCCAGTCTGGCCACCTAGTAGGACCTCATGTAAAAACAAATCAGACCACAGATAGGGCACATGTATATAATCTCAGCACTCAGAAGGTTGAGCCAATAGAATTAAAGTTGAGCACTGGGATTGAAGGCATGCTCGGTTAACATAGTCCTCCCACCCCCACCCCATCTCCACCCTCACCCCACCCCGGCCCCAAACAGGGTTCTCTGTGTAACAGCTCTAGCTGCCTTAGAACTTGCTCTGTAGACCAGGCTGGCCTGGATCTCAGAGATCCACCTGCCTCTGCCTCCCGAGCGCTGGGATTAAAGGCGTGCGCCGCCG